AGGCGAACTGTTGGTCAACAAATCACTCTGCGGAAGAACGACAGGCAGCATTTAACAAAGTCAAGAAAACCTATCCGTCAAAAGACCAAGACGCTGTTCGGCAATTCATTGTCCAATTTGAAGGGCAATCCATAGATACGGAGTTATATCAGTTCTTAACCATTGAGGACCTGCCTGATGAAAGCGAATTCAGCAATGAGCACGGGCATGACAACGTCGACCAATATCTCATTGAGGAAATTGGAGGAGAAAATGCTGTTGCCTATCTTCAAGAACAAACCACAAGACATAAGTTTACAGCACCCAGAATAAAATATGCGGTATCTGAGGAGGAATAGGGGATTATTTTTAGGGTAGACTCTCTTAGTATTGATTCGGACTTTTACATTAACGTTCTTGACTCGGAGATAGAAACAGCCGAAAAAGTACACCTACTTGGGAAAGTTTTTTCTCTACAAACAATGAAGGATGATAGATACAACGATCGAGTCTTCCATGGAGTTTTGGTTGATACAGGCGCTGCTGGGCGGTCTACAGTTGGAGTTGGACAGGCAAAAGCGTTGCAGCAAATTCAAAAGGAGTTTAAGGTTGATAAAACAAGGGCTGGGGAGGTGAAAATCTCGGGAATTGGGAGTGGCGTATTTGTTTCTATTGGTTCAGTTACTCTTGATACGCCCATTGGCAAAGTTACTTTTCATATTTTACCCTGCAACACAACTTTTTTTCTTAGCCTACAAGATATGACTTGTCTTGGCGTTACTCCAGATGTTCTAAAAAATGCCATGATGAAAGATCAAAGACTGGTAGCAGCTCTTATTCGAAAATACAGTCACTTATGGATGACCCTCAATCACATCCAATCATTATTCATTTACGAAGCTGACCAACATCCTATTTGTTACTTGACAGAGCAACAAATAAGAGCCTGTCATTGTAGATGGGGGCATCCAACTGCTACAAGAATGTGGAAGATCTTTCAACGAGCCGGCCATGACGTCAATATCAAAACAATTAACCAAATTTCCAAGTTCTGCGAGGACTGTCAGTTAAACGCTAATCGGCCCCTTCGTTTCAAATTCATTCTCACTAACAAAGATGTACCGTTTAATCATACTGTCTACGTTGATGTATTGCACTTAGAAGACGGCCCTGCTGTACATTTAGTAGACGCTGGAACCAACCTAGGATCTGCAGATTTCCTTACAGGTACTGAGAAAGAAGGAGCAACATCTATCTGTAATTCAATTGAACGCTGATGGAACAACGTCTACATAGGTCCACCTCAAAATCTAATACATGATGCCGGTAAGAATTTTGCGTCCGCAGAATTCCGCGCAACTGCTTCAGGATGGAAAACACATGTGGTTGAAGTCCCTATAGAAGCTCATCATTCTATCGGAAAAGTTGAGCATGCACAAAAAGATCTTCGTCGTGCTTATTCTATTTTCAAGCGACAATTTACTGGACACAATGTAAACCGGCATTTAATTTTAAAGATGGCAGTTAAGGCGCTTAATGACACCGCAGGACCGAATGGTCTCATTCCAACACTTTGTGCGTTCGGTGCCTATCCCCGAATTACTTGGGACGACGGTCCAGTACCAGTGGCTAAAGAAAGGGTGGAAAATATGCGTAAAGCGATGGAAGAGCTTCAAAAATATCGTGCTACTCAACTTGTCAATAAAGCCAAAGATATGCGGAACGGTCCACAACATCATCACCTTGAAGATGTCCCCATTGGAGGAAAAGTGAGAGTGTGGCGTGAAGCAACCAAGAGCTCAAGGGGCAAGTGGACAGGACCTTTTGAGCTATACAACAAAGAGGGCGAGACAATCACGGTAATTATCAATAAAGAAAAGAAAAACTTCCGATTGACATCAGTCAAAAAGTGGTTTGATGAAAATGACGATACTAATAACCTTGATAACAGTAACTTGAAGCAGCCGGAAACAGGTTTAGATAGCCAAACGGAACTTGAACCAATACCACCGCACCCACTAAGGCGCAGCGGAAGAGAGGGAAGATTTGCTGGTCAATATCCATCTGATGAACATTTCGTACCTTGCCTAGAACAACATTTTCCTGTATACCTTTCTCAAGATGAAGAAGCGATTCGGCTTTCGCTAGAATTACGCTCAAAGGGCCTTATTACCACCCCTGGACCACCGTTCTATGCCTCAAACAAAAAGGAGATAGATGGCTTAATTGCCAGTAAAGTTTTCCGCTTCATGCCTTGGTGTTAAGCAAAGTTATACTAATATGAATCTCTCTCAGAGTTTATTGAATTGATTGTCTCTCCCATGAGGAATCTATCTAGGTACTATATACATCTTGAGTATCCTACTAATTCCAAATATAGACTGAATATTAGATTGCCAATACAAACTGCTCAAATCTCTGTTCCATACATGGGTCTAAGGTTGGCTGTTACATTATCTTCGGCAATAGAAGGAGTGAAACAACAAGGGAGTTGTGCGTATGAAATTGACCATCCGTCTAGTCGCTAATTGTAACATTTGCATGACTAAGTTATTGCCCTTGATGCATCAGCCCATTTTACTTGCTTGTAAACTACTCAACTTAAACATCATGAGACAACATTTAAACTTAGGGTAATCTGTTTGACACTTGGAATAAGTTGTTACTGGGAAAACAAATATACAAATGTAGAATTGTCAAGGCAATTAAGGGCAAGGAAACGATCAAGCCTTTTGAGAAATCTCGTTTGGTTGTTCAAGCATACAATGACCGAGATAAGTCTCTAGTACTAACCCAGTCACCTACCGTACAAAGAGCAAGTCAACGCCTTATTTTTTGTTTTGCAATCTGCTTAATCTTGCAATTTGACCAAACTTTATTTCTTCGGGATATTCAGCAAGCGTACACGCAGTCAAGGACCCATCTTGTTAGGGATTTTTATTGCTGGCCTTCCCCAGAAATTATCAAAGCTATGGATCTACCGGCAGATACAATCATGCACGTTATCAAACCTCTGTACGGTATCCCAGAAGCTGGCAACCACTGGTTCAACACATGGATCAAATACCTTACAAAAGAACTAGGCTTAAAGTCATCTTGCTTTGATCTGTGTCTACTTGTGACCCACGTTGAACCTTTCAGTATTACAGGCATGCAAGTTGACGATACGCTTTTCCTCGGAACTTAGGAATTTCTAGAGCTCGAAGACGCAAAACTAAACAAGGCCCAGTTCCCTGCAAAGCCTATTGAGCAATTATCTGATATTAACCCACTGCAATTTAACGGTCTACTGATCTCACTCTGCAATAACTCTTTGCACATACAAACTAATGGTCAAGGTAAGAAAATCAAGTTGGTCAATGTAAAAGATCCAAACAGAACCGATATTTACAAGAGACAAAGAGCTCTTGGAGCCTGGATTTCATCTAATTGTCAACCACTTGTCGCCTTTAGATTTTCAAGAGCAGCTCAGCATCAAGAGCCAGGAGACCAGGAGATCATTGAACTCAATAACGCTCTTTACGAACAACAAATCGACCCAAGCAAGGGATTAAAATACATCAACCTAGATTTGAATAAGTTAAAAGTTTACTGTTGGGTTGATGGCTCATTTGCTAGCAATAAAGACCTCACCTCTCAGATAGGCTTTGTAATCATACTTGGGAACGAGGATCTTGGTGACAATGAATTCACCTTCCCAGGTAATATTATTCATTGGAGCTCAACCAAATGCAAGCGAGTGACTCGAGCTGCTCTAGCATCCGAGCTATATGCAATGACTCATGGCATTGATATTACAATCCCACTCTGCATGACGGTCAATCAGATCATGGGCCAACTTGGTCTACCTGTAGTTCCATTAATTATCTGTACCGACAGTTGCAACCTATATGAATGTTTAGTGAAGCTTGGAACAACAAAAGAAAAACAACTAATGATTGACGTTATGGCAATACGTGAGTCATATGAGCGAAGAGAGCTAGCAGAGATCAGGTGGATCAATGGTAAAGATAATCCAGCAGACTCTATGACAAAAGAAAACGCTACCTCGGCCCTAAGGACAATCATTGAGACAAATAAACTTACAGTTAGACTGGAAGGATGGGTAAACCGGAAGTGAATGCACGATGGCAAATAAAAACTAGTATTTTTGGGATGAATTACTTTCTTTCATAATTTCTTGAGTTCGACATTTACCATTTAAAGAGTTATCAGTGTATGAATATTGGCGTTGGTAGGGTACTTATGGGAGAAGTATACGGAAATTAGTCACGTGGTGTCAGTGCGGCGTTGGGGTTTACTTCCGTTCTGTACTCATGATAGAGATAGATAGATATACGTTTTTTAGATCAATAACTCTGTTACCCATTCTTTGTGCTAGCACATAATCTTGAACCGGTGATAAACCGACAAGTATGATCATATGATAAGCAGGTATATCTAATGACATAATTGTTGAATGGCTGAATGGTTGGGAGTTATTGCTATTGATGGCATATTTTGTGTACCATCTTTGTGTATAAATACTCGCAGCTAGACCTCTGTTCATGATTAACCTTTTCCACTCTTATCTTCAATAGTCACCAATATAGCAGATCTACAATATATATCTGTCTTCTTCACGTTAGACCTAAAGTGCTATCCTATATCCACCCAAGTTGACCATTACACCCATTGTGACAATTCTTAGACTTCTCATAACCTTGTTATTACAATAAGGCTACAGGAATCTGTCTGATTAAAGTTCTGTATCATATCACGTGCCTTATTATTGTAATATTTCCTTATATAGAATAGCGCCGGGAATAAGAAATTGGCTTCCCAATATAATTATTAGATGTTCCTTAGGAGGGAGGGAGTTAGAGAGGAATCAATTGATACCAATATTGTTACAACAAGCTTGTCACAAAACCCGTCCACTTGAAGTATTCCGACAGAATCCTTAGGCTTAACTGTTGAGATAGTACCGGCAAATAACAGTCACAGTACCAAAGGTGCGAACCCACGCCTAGTGCTGCAACATGCACATCTACTGCTCGCCACCGAGCTTTGTTACGACTGACCTGAGGATGATACAGGTCTCTAAGAAGAAGTTGTATTTGGAAATTAGGCTACGCTACGTAGGTAGGAGAAAAGACAAGGAGAAAGGAAGTGCTGGGAGCTACGAGCTTGAGGTAAGCTTGACCGCGGCTCCACCTTAGTCCGGCCTGCATCCCTGTTATATATTATCATGTGACCCCGTATTCTTCCACCAGGCTACCTCCAAGTGCCCTAGCAAGTCCAACCATAACAAGCTTCGGGCGTAGGAGTGCCCAGGTAAAAACTATACATGGAAGCAATTGGAATGGCGACACCATAAGCCCCTGGAATATAAGCGCTAGCCGCAAGGGGTCAGGTACCGCGCAGCGTATATGCAACAGCATTGAATGTACAGGTGTATCTCGAGTGCCCCTAAAGGAAATCAGTACGGTCGCCCCTGGATCAGCTATTCAGGGGCTGTTACGGCGTGCACTAAGGATACTGGAGATTGCTGTCTGCCGAAGGTAAGGTATTAATAACTGTTAGGATTACAGTTGCTAACAAAGGATACTTAGATATGATTCGCTTGGCGAGGTGCCAGGTACTCAAAGGTTGTAGAACTACAGAATAGTTGAAAGACACGAAGTCAAGAAGTCGAGTTGACAAGCAGGCAATCAAGGCTGATAACTCAGAGTGCACAGAAGTACGAAGAATGTAACAAATAACAAAAGACTGAGAATATCGGACTGTGAGAATATACAATAATAATATTATATAAATGCTAGATTGCGAGATCAAGGATCAAAAGAATGAAAGATTGAGAAGCTGGAGAGCTACTATGTGGCAGCTCCAGCTTCCTTAAGTCTAACTCGAGATAGTACTTGAACTCAACTAAGACTATGACAAATGCCGTCATGTCGCCAGCCCCTCCATCTCTAACTGTAGGAGTTTTCTCGGAAACCTTCTCAGTAAACCTTTTCCCAAAACCTTTCTCAAAACCTTCTCCTATCACTTTTTCCTGAGAACCTTCCCCTTGAAACCTCTTCAAGGATGTCTGGCCATAACAGGGGCGCTCAATTAGGGCACTGAGCTGCAACTATAGGGGCAGTGTTGCGGCTGGCAAGCAGAGGATATACGTGACCTGCGGGAGCAGCAATGGCTGCTCATGAACAGTGGATTAATGAGCGTTGGATTGGTAGTGTGATTACTATGGGTAGTTGTTGTGCCTTTAGCACGTTCACCATGCATAACACACCTTGCGCTAGGTGTGTCATGCTAGCAATACATTAGGAAGTATTTGATGGGTTTGTTTCTGTAACCTAAGCGGGGCTGTAGTATAAATAGGGGTCGGAGCTCCCCATATTGTAATATAGATTAATCAACATCTTTCCACACTTTATTCCCAATAAAGCTATCCCAACAGTCAAAGGTCAGCATCATGGTGATACATCCTAACCCATAACTGTAACAGGTTATGAGCCTGGGCGCACCCACGTTAGCTATAAGAAAGTCTCTTGCTGACACACCAGTATCCAGAAACCATGCACAACAACTCTGACAAGGTCATTCTCGGTCCAGGAGTATCCTTCACCACATGGAGGATGTCAATCTAGGCAAAGCTAGACTGCAAAAACGTTCTCGGCCACATTTTTCACACGATGAATGGTATTCGCCCAGTCAAGATGCCCATTGATCCAGGCAATCCTAACATTGCAGAGCTATCATCTACATAACTCGACAATCTCGAGCGATGGGTGCTCGGTGAAATTGAGGCAAAGAATATAATCACCCAGCGGTTGTCACCAACCATGTGCCCGCCAAACTACGACAACATGACAGCAAAACAGTTGTACAACACCGTAGCAGATAGCAGACAAGAAACCGCTACAGCCCCATACACGCTTGCACTGGAGAAATTTATGTCTATCAGGTTTGTCTCCACTGCGGATGATTATATTGACTGCTTTCTCGCAGCATACCAAGGCGTCAATAATGCTGCCAATGCAATGTCAACTCAGACGCCGCAAAACGAGTATCGAGCCAGATGCGGATAAGCCTCTGCCGCCTTTGTGATGGGCACAAAAAGGATGGAATGGCTAAGCACGTGGCGTGATACGAGAGCATATGAGTCAAATAACTGGTATGCTAGTCTACAATCTCTTGTGTCTTCCCTCCGTTCCGTAGCAGGTAACTGCACGCATCAGCCAAATACGGCTTTTGCTGCAACAGTGCCCACCAATGAGGAACTAGATCCTAATGCTTACTGCACCAAATGCCGGCACAGACATAAAAATAAATTCTGTCATAAACTACACCCAGAATTGGCACCCAACAAGGGCAACCGCAGCCGTGGTAGTAAGTTCAAAGGCAAAACCGCAGCAGGAGTTGAATCTGGTTGTGATTCAGACACAGACATTGATAAAGTTATTGTAGCCTCATCTTGTATCAATGAGTGCCCTACCATCTATGATACTGGTGCTTCGCACCATTTTTTCTCTCAAGAACAATCTTTCAGTGACCTTCAAACTCGAACAAAACCCCTTTGCTTTGATCAAGCTGTAGGCAACACATGCTTACACAATCAAGGAACTGCAAAACTGAAAATCGGGAATCTCCAACTGACCCTTCAAGAAGCCTTGTTTTCTCCAAATTCTTCATGCAATATAGTGTCTGCTGGCAGGTTACAAAGACTATGCAATATAGTTGCTGACCATGATAAATCCCTACTAGTCCTTCAAGATGCATTAAAACCAGATGTCCCAGTTACTAGATTGATTCGAAAAAATGATGTTTATTATATCCACTCACTAGCACACAGTCGATCTCCTCACATCCCCAGTTATGTTGTAGCACCTGGTGTAGCAAGGGTACCTACTACCACAAGTGCGCAATGCTGGCACGAAAGGCTGGGCCACACCGGCCAAAGCATAATAAAGAAAACCGCACAACTTGTTAAAGGACTAGAGGGGATAGACCTCAGTCAACTAACTACCTGCGAAACGTGTCATTTAAGCAAAGCGCAGAGGTTTGTCTTCAGGGAAGCAAGACCCACACCGTATGCACCTCTAGACGAGATTTTTGTAGACACTGTGGGAAAAATAATTTCTGGAATAAATGGTCATCAATATGCTATAATCATCATAGATTCAAAAACACGAATGCGATTGGTGCTTACTACCCAGTCCAAAGACACCATTGCAGCATCATTGTTACAGTTTACCCGTTGTTTAAGCTTAGGTGAATACCTAAGCGCATTGTTGAGGACTCTGAGGATAAGACTGTTGGGATCGAAGCAATGTCATAGCACAGTGAATATGGGCAATGTGTAGCCGTGCGGTAATTATTCGACCTAAGGAAAAGGTATAAGCAACGAGACTCATAGAGTGGACAAAATGTTATAAGTACCTTGTAGCTGTAGTTAGATTTCTCATCTTCATAGAGTTTATTAAATCGATTTTTTCATTACCAACTCGGTTTCTATCACAGTATAAACTCTATCATTCACATATATGGCCCGTTATTAAGTATATTGCATCATTAGATTATTGTGACTTAGGGAAATTTTCAATTTATCGGAATAGAACGGTTAGTAGATTAATTGACTTAGGACTGCCAAGGAAGTGGATGCCAACATTTGCTCCTCCATCAACATCAACGGACGGGATAATTAGCTCTGGACAATTGAGTCGCCTGAGTGAATTATCATTCAAATCAGCACACGGATTCGAAGAATCAATAAGGGGTCCTGTTGGAAATACAGTTTCCTGCTTTTCTTTCTATCAACCAATGTGGTTGCATGCATCTTGCCTGAACTATATTTCTGAGTTCGGGCAGGATCCTACACTTCTGATCCAATTGGACTCAACGTTAGAGTCTGCTTGAATCCCATTCTTCCCGAACAAATCCAGTCATTGGTTTGTTTGTACTTCTATTGCGTGACCCAGTATTCTCAGTCAGTGGATAATTATTTTCTGGTACGGGGTCCCACTTATTTCTGCAGTCGAGTCGGTTCCGGGTAACCTCTATTTCTTATAATTCCACTGTATATATCATAATACCTGTAGTATATTAGTCAATAAAGCAAACTGAACTTCTTCTCCGTTCTCAGGCAATTCTTACTCCGAAGTCTTCTCTATACTCTAACAGGTCCCAACATGGACAATCTTGAAATAGGAACGGGCTTCATTGCAACTGGTATTTCAAACCAGGAATCGATGCAACATGAAGAAACTCAGACAGACATGCAAAAAATGATTGAAGAAATAAGACGAAGGGATACAGAACACAGGAGGGATATGGCAATGTTGTAAGCACAAATGAACCAAATGATGTCAACCATGCAGAAACAGTCGCAGAACAATGACCAGGTACCCCTGCAGCCAGTGAGACCTAATCCTGGTCGTTCATCAGAACAAAGGGAGCCATAAGGCAAAGAAAAACCATTGAAATGGCCGGAAGCTTACTATCACAAGGATAGATCTAAGTGGACTACCACACACGGAATCCTTCAGTACATATATCGGCGCAATGTAGAGGAGCGCAACATACTCGAACCATCGGATTTTTTCATGCAGCTTTACAGCCATGCAGTGACTGGAACTGCCAAGGATATGATCACTGGCCAAGTCCAAGATATGCTCGCCATCGACGCGATATGGGATGCCTTAGGCTTACTTCAGGCCATGGATGACGCCTTTTTGTCGTGGTTATGAGCTGTGAGGTATATAGCAATTATGCCTCTGCTATCTGTCGGTGGAATTACACGGGCTCATGTGCAATGGTGAGTCGCGGAGATGGCGCGCTCACGCTGGGTGATGGCACGATAGACACTAAGTGCGTATCACTGTGGCCAAATGGGTGTCAGTAGGTATCAAATGTGAACTCTTACTGACAATGGTGATCTATGAAGGTGATGCTAGATGTGCATCCCGACAATTGATAATATCATCTAATGGATGATGTGAAGTATGATATTATTTTCATAGATTGATTCACTAAACTCGGCAGGTGAAGAGATTGTAGAGTACATGAACAGCGTTGGTGCACCAGCCTGTATTTTCCACCCTTTCCTCATCCAGCAGCCCATCCTCCATTCCCTTGTCTCCTAACAACTCAACCGAGCCAGCACAACACTTTTGTGATAGAAACAAAAAACAATCTGCGGCTGCGCTTTTCCATGCATGCCAACAATTTAGGGATGAGAACTTGTCATCATACCTACCGCAATTTCAGCAACTACTAACACGAAGTTCCAGTGTCACGATCCGTGAAAGCCGTATTGCGTGCGTGTGGGGATAGGGGTTAGTGCGCCTTGGCATCACGTTGGATGACTGAGCACAGCCGAGGGAGATATCTTAGGGAGGGTCGAGAGTAGCTACCTCCTCTCTTCGTCTTTTATTGCCTTTACAAGCGTATCTCTTGATAGCAATATAATAACTTATACAACCTCCTTGATGTGCCATAACAGTCCAACCTTTGAATCCGTGCGGCCGCTAGTATTTTTCTCTGCTGTAAGATAACAGCAGACA